TTAATATTACTATAAACCCATTGCCTTCATATCGATTCCAACTCATAGCGTCCCTATAGGACAGGGGCCACAAAAACAGGTATCCTTGATTTTATGGCAGAAGTTAGATTAGGCAAACATTAGGCTTTGCAGTCCCAACATGTGTTTGTTGGTCAACCATAGGATTTCAAGTGTCCCACTGTACACAAGGAATGCCGCAAACTTTCCAGGCTGGAGCACAGTATCTGTGAGTTCTGCCACAGGTACACCAGCAATTCATGGTTTCCCTACAATTTTCACTCTTATTTAAAGTTTCTAGATAACATGAGTGAGGTACAACCTTCATTTAAAATAACAACTACTACTAAACGGACCAATAATGAAAATTCAGTAAAACCCTTCAATTTTGATTATCACAGGTCAGTAAAATGCTTTATGCTATCTCTATGACAAATATTTTGTAGACAGTGATTGAAGATCATACCTTTTATCATGAAGAATATAATTTAGAGGTTAAAGACTATATTAAGAGACTGGAATAATCTCAAAAACAAACTCATACTCACCTTCACATGATATTCTTATTAGAAGTACCATTTTAAGTGATAACCCACAAAAATCTCATAACTGTTTCTCATTCAATTTGTAGTTATCCCCAAATTTCAAGATAAAAATATTTAATTATTCAATATCAAACCTGTAGTTACTATATACTATGACTTTTACTTGCATAAAGTAAGATATTTCTTACCTAAATTTATCCCTTCTTTAAACAGACACCAAAACTATACTACACAAATCTATCTTGTTTCAGAAGCATCACAAACCTCACTCACAAAAAATGTTAAATCACTTTCATTTCTAAAATATCTTCTATTCAGGCTAAAATTTATGATCTTCTTTTATTCTTAATGAAAACAGAGTATAACTCTTTTCCATTTTAAATGTACGAACATTTTTGAAAACAAACTCTTCTCTATTATCTTCTAGAGATTTATTTATTACAGATCCCTTTAAAATTCTTGTTTCTGTCAACTTTGTTGCTAATGAGATAGAAATAAGCATCCATATCAGGCAAAATAAATAAGGAAACAAAAATCATGAATATTAGGATAATAAAAGTAGGGTAGAATTTATTTTTGGCAGAATGCAATTAGGAACTTGTTAACTATCTACTTGTTATGTACATATTTAAAATATTTCCATACGTGATTTGATCAGACAAATACATATATTTCTAGAAACATAAACGCTTATGATCTTAGGCTCCAGAAAATCAGAATCCAAAAATACATACCCATCATCAGAACCACTGCAAAGAATTCCCTCCCTCAGAGGAGACCATCTAACATTGAACACTTTGGCTGTGTGCCCACTGAACACTTTCAGTGGTTGATCAGAGCTGGTGGCTACATAATAGACACGAACATTTTTGTCTTCACAGCCAGTGGCTATCATGTCTCTGAAATATCAATGGCACATTAAAATATGAAAATGTTGACATTATTTATTGATAATAACTTAAAATGTAGAACATTCTAAAAACAGAATTTGTGTCAGCTGATTTTTACATGTTAAATATGGGCTTGTAAGCAATGTTGACTTTTCAAAACCACCCACATAAGTTCCAACAACCTGGGAAATTCTTGAACGCAGTGACAATGGAAAGTCATGGTGGAATAACACTGCACTGATTCCTGAAAGGCTTTAGAAAAAGGTAAACATTTCTATGGTAGAAGCCACACACAGACTGAACTTATTTCTATGTTTCCTTAGTGGGCCCTATGCTTTTCTACAAAGTATCAGAAAGGCGTTTCAGAGCAGGAAATCACTATTTTTAAAGCATGTAAAAATTTCATGCAATGAAAATAGACAGCAAAAATAAATGAGCATATACAAGCCTCCTTCTCATTTTCTAGGCAAGGGGAATATTATCTATGAAAAAAAGTGATCCGTGTCACCGACAGGAGAAGCACTAACATTTACGGTTGTTTAAAATCTCCTAAATGTAATTATTACTTATTTCCAGGGTGGGGGGGAAACTTACTTGTTATTTTGGCTCCAATCACAACCAAAGACTGCAGCTGGATGTTTGTATTTGTGTAGCACTTTACCATCAACTGTTCGAATAATACTGAAATTAATTATGTTAATAGAAAAAATCAGCATTCTTAATACATTATTCACTGGAACAAAGTCAGAGTTGTATAATTCAAATATAAATATCTAACGATAGAGAACTTGTTTGCAAAGCACAAGGATCATTTACAAGTGTTCTATAAATGGCACTGCCCATTATGACTGTATTTACATTATATAATACTAATTATGGTAATCAATTTAAGGGTGATAAATTTTGAGTTAGAAACTGTTTCTTACAGAATTTTTTGAGGAAAAATATAATTTAATAATAGTTTTGAAACATGAAATAAGTAAGATATGTATTGGTTTTTCAGCTTTAAAATTTAGCAGTCCAAAATTTATAATATTTAGAACTCATTTATAAAACTTGTTGCATAAGCTATTACACCAAGAGCAAGACATTATAACATTTTCATGATAC